TTATAAGCTTGGCAGTGTGGTGCAGTGCTTAGAGCGTCAGACTAGGAAGTGGGAGATCTTTGGCAGAGAAAGCGAAAGACCTTGTAAAACTACAAATCCCAGAATTCCATAGGATGGAGCTACAGCACTTATAGTGGCGACTGCATTATTTTGACAGGTAGATGCACCCTTTGTTATCTGAGGTATGCTTGCATGGGATTTAATTCAGAGGTGGGCCATGGGGGTCAGTCGAGGGGCCACTTGTTTCCCCCATGGGACCCTCCTGGGGCCACTCAGGCTGCAAAAAATGAAACAAACCCAAAAACAAATAGCAAATAAATAAGTAAATAAATAAATAACCAGAAGCAGCTAGAAGTCCACACCTGGTTTTGCAACATGGAATTTTTAAAAATGTTAACAGCCTATCTCCATACCCATCACCTTTTTAAAAGATGGATTGCCACTCCTGGAAACTTCCAAAAGAGATGACCCACGCTTTCTGCTTTTGCAAATAAAAGGAAACTCACAAAAATGGGCCACGGAAGGTTTCACGTGCCTCATGGCTGCCCTTTCCCCACTTCAAGATTGAATGGCATGTGAAAAAGTTCCTTTCCAACAACCTCTAACCCCAAGATTTCTTCGCAAACAAGGAATGCTTTTTTACAGCCTGAGTGAAAAAGAAATCATTGGGAAATTCCTTTTTGTGAGAGGTCCCCCTGCCTCCCCTCCAACAAATCTTGTCACCTTTTAACACAACTGCCATGCCCACCCAGCCCAGTGCCATCCAGATATGCCTGGCCAAACTGTCTGGGGATGATGGGAGTTGTAGTCTGATGCACCTACAAGGTGTCACATCAGTGAAATGGCTGTTTTAAGGCCTGTCCGGACAATCCAGGTGTCCAATTTTCTTGTTCGTAACCCTCCGAACCTGAGAGCCAACATGGCATAGTGGTTTGAGTGTTGGACTTCAACTCTAGAGACCAGGGTTCGATTCCCAGCTCAGCCGTAGAAACCCACCGGGTGACCTTGGGCAAGTCACACTCTCTCAGCCTCAGAGAAAGGCCACAGCAATTCAATTCAATTCAATTTCAATTTATTCAGTCTTTGACCAGTATAGATTATAAAAATATATGAAATATGAAATATATACATTTACAAATTAATAAACAGATTAATATACAGACTAAAAATAAGCTGTATACAATATACATTATCAACCAAATCTATCTAAACTGTAATAAAATATCCATTCGTCAATTGAGGTCGCAATTTGCAAACAATATAACAATATAACAGAATTTGGCCACAGCAAACCTCCTCTGAACAAATCTTGCCAAGAAAACCCCAGTATAGTTTCCCCTTAGGGTCGCCACAAGCCAGAAACGACTTGAGGACTCACAACAACAGCCACAACCCTACATTATATTGGGAAAAGTTGAACCTATAAGGATGATGTTTTTGGAAGATTTTAGCTTTGTGATGTAATGTAATATATTTGTAATGTCTCTGATTTTTGAGTTTTACTTGGTTTCTCTTTTGTAATGGCTTGTGCTACGCAAATAAATTCGCTTACTACTACTGCTATTACTATATTTTAAAGTTTTGTATTGTTTTTAACTTGTACTGTTTTAAATTTAAAAATAGTCCCTATACTGGGAGAAAGACAGGATATAAGATGATGATGATGATGATGCACTCAGCCAAACAGTTAAATGCCCAGAAGGTAATACTCATGACATAATACATAATAACTGCTGCAAGAATATTATTTGCAAAAAATTAGAAACTTGATCAAACACCTAAGTTAGAAGAATGGTTTGCTAAAATGCTAGAAATGAGAGATTTAAATTTAAGCAGCCTTCGACTACACAGATTTAAATAAGCTTTCAAGAAGAATCAAGATTGAGAGAGAGAGATTTGATTAGAAGAAAGCAACTTAGAGAAAGACCGGAATGTGGTTACTGAATATTGGGAAAAGAAATAGAAGGATAAGAGATAAAATATGTGATAGCAGAAAACGACATGCAGAAAATGAACTGGTGATGAAAATGTATAGGAAGGTTACAAATTATTATTTCCTTTTTTTAAAAAAATCCTTTGGTTGAAATTGGAATTGTAACAATATATTTGTAACACTGCAAAAAATAAAAAATAAGATTGAAGAAGGAGCAAAGGCCACACAAGGGGCACAAATAGAAGTTAACATCGGGCCTTTGCAGACTTCTAGAAATAGTGTAAATTGAGTCCCCTTTACGAATATGTAACAAATATTTCTGCAAATCCAAATGACAAAGACTGGCCAAATATAAAAGAGATCGCAAAGGGTGCCACGATGGAAGTGAAATATAACAACGCAAATAATTTCAACGTACGTTCATCTTTGTTGAAATGCTGTTCGTGTTCTGTAGATGTGTTTCTTTTGTGTTGTGATGATAAAAAGTATATTCGGATCTCTGTTTTTGGAGAGTCAGAGAGGCTGCCCCCCTGAGAACTACGTACCTTTTTTATGCATAATTTTTATTTTTTAAAGTATATTCTAGATTGAAGAAGGAATGGGGGGAAAAAAGAAGGTATGTAATACTCACAGCCCCGCGGACGAAATCCTTTCCCAGGTTGTCCAGGCGTTGCTTGGTGCTTTCTCCTCGGGTCCCAACAAGGATGATGGAGATGCGGCTATAGGTGCCGGCCAGCATGTAGTCACCGGTGGCCACCTGGACCTTGTAAGTGGCCATTTGGGGAAGAGAAAAGGGAGACAGACAGAAAGGGCAGGTGCTCAGGTGGCCAGGTAGGATGGATGTGCGCGGCGATGCTGAGTGTTGCAAGGCAAGTCTGAACAGCCTCGGTCGGTTGTCTTCCCCGAGGGTGGCAACGCTCAGCACCAACTTCTCAGCCCAATTTGACTCGGATGTGTTTCAGCCTGGAGGTGGCACCTGTTCTGCAATGGGACGGGTGCGGCTGGGACCAGTCCGAGATCTCGGTTGGGCAAGGGCTGCCTTTGCTGCTGGAAGCAAAAGCATGTGTCTTCACTTCTCTTGTGCAACTCCTTGGACAGAAGGGCTGCTGTGGAGGTTGCATAAAACATCCTGGCTACACCCCAAAAGGAGCAAAATGTGCCACTCGTGCGCCTCCTGAGTCTCTGGGCCTGGCTCTTGGACTCTAGTCCCTTCCAAAGCTGAGGGAGGAATCTCAGGGCAAGAGCACCGCCTTGAAAGGGGAATTTCCCCCAGGGCCAAGATTATAACATTTTTAAAATATTCTTTTCTTTTCTTTTCTTTTCTTTTTATCCCACTTTTCTCCCAACGTGGGGCTAACAACATATATACAGCACGTTAAAACGACAGTTAAAATAGTATGATTAAATCCGTAAAAAATATAAAAATTACAAATATAAAATTTGGAACAGAGTTAAATAAATAAATTAATAATAATAATAATAATAATAATAATAATAATAATAATAATAATAATAATAATAATAATAATAATAATAATAATAATAATAATAATAATAATAATAATAATCTAAAACTAACCCAATAACACCCACTGATAAATGAGGTGACCTAATATTTTTGGATTCTTGATTTAAGGATTGGAATAAGTACCAGTATTCAAACAGTTTGTTTGTAAGATAATGTACATAGGTATGGACATGCTCCGAGCTAATAGGGAGCATATGACAAGAGGAAGACAAACTTTGATTGCTTTTCTATTTTAAAGCTATATTTTCATTTGGAAGCAAGTCGACCAGTATTAATTTTAAATAAACATGGTTATAGTGTACATTTACAAAAAGCTTTCTGTTAATAAAGGAAGACAAGCACAGGTTAT